TGGGTTGACGACTGCGGGTGTCGGACAAAATCGATAGTACTTGGCGAGTCGCCGCCGCCTCGTTGGTCCAGGCCATCTCCCCGACGCCGAAGCGCGTAGGCGTCCAGAAATACATGTATACGTATTATATATATATATATATATATATATATATACATATCTAAGTCCGTGACGCCGTACCTCTCCCATTCGTACGGCGCGTCGCGTCGTACACCGAGTGTACACCGGGTGTTCCCGACTTTGTGACGCTTGGCGACCAAGAGGAGCTCCGCCAACTTCTTTCCGAGTCGCAGAGCAATTCAATCCGCTGATGTACTTTCATTTGCTGCTGAAATGAACAATTGCGTTCCTAATTCGTTTCCACTGGTATCTAATACGGGACTTAATTGTTTCGTGAAAAGTCATTTCGTGAATCTAATGGATATATCGAGAGAGGAGTGTCGGAAAGAAACGATTCTTTCTCATTTTCGGATAATTTTTCCAGCGCAAAAACACGATGTTAGAGAGAGAGAAAGAGAGAGAGAGAGAGAGAGTTCGCAAGTCACCGTGAGAAAAATATCTCTCTGATATTCTGCAGAAAAATGGTTTACTTTTTAATTTAGACAAATAGCACTTCCATTTCCGGAGGAGATGTTCCAGACGCGTTGGAGTCGAAATAAGTTAATATCAACATATTGCTTCACATTCCGTCATACATATTTCATATGAAAAGCGCCAAGTGGCGATTTAATTCTGCAGAAGTTTCTCGGTACTTCAATTTATTGCGTAGGTACAGGAAGTAAGGCTTTTTTACAATCCCAGGGGGGATCCGACGAAGATTTACGCGGTTTTTTTTTTTTTTTTTTTTTTTTGCAAAATGAAATCGATTTCAATTTGTAACCGCAAAATAAATATTCGTTAGTCTAGAATAAAAGAAAAGGATTCTGTTATGTTTCACGCCACCTCAAGGTACAATTCGTCGCGCTGATTCTGAATCTAGTTTTCCACACCAATTCCCCAGCCATTAATTCCTAACTACCGACACGCTCGATACCTCTGAGACACCCCATATTCAGGAGAAAGGGCGAGGAAGCGGGAGGAAGAGAGAACGAAATCGAACCTACCCTCGCGAACTACGCTCTTCATTCAGAGCCGCCCCCGCAGTCTTTCGTGTGACGTCACAGAAAGCATTGGAGCATTCACTATCTTGCGCGCGCGCGCGCAATAGGCGAAGCAGAGAGGAGTAAGAAAGACAGAGACGAAGTGATCGAGGATGCGCACATACGATCTACGTCTATGGTCCAGGATTACGTCTACTAATGGTAGCGGGCGATGATGGTGGTGGTGGTGGTGGTGGTGGTGGTGGTGGTGGTGACGGTAGCGGTGGTGGTATCAGTAGTAGAGATAGTAGAGGGCTTCGTACTGGCTTGCCCTCCTACATCCCCCGAGTATCGCTGGTATTGCTGCTGCTGCTGCTGCTGCTACTGCTGCTGCTGATGCTGATGCTGATGCTGCGGTTGCGGTTGCCGTTGCTGCCGTTGCTGCCGCTGCTGTGCCACCACACCGGTCTAGCCGCTCCTCCGCCTTTCACTCGCGCTCGCCTCAGTTCGCTGGTGTCCCTCATCAGCCGCGGGTCTCTTCGAACGACGCAACCAGTCCGACGTTGTACTACCTGTTTAGTCCGACGTATACTCTCTTTCTTTTTTTTTTTTTTAGATAGATATACCCCCGCGTCTCTTTGTTTCGTCTTCCCCGGTGGGATTCTCGACGCGCTCCTGCGTCTACTCGGCCTTCCGCGGCCTTCTGGGAAACGCGTTTGTTTGCGTCGCACCTGTGGATCCGTGGGTACCAGTTTCTTCATCGTTATTGCGTCTTACGCAGCCCGCTGAAGAGCGTCGATCTGAGGAACGCGCGCCGCTCATTGAACTCGCTTCGTAGTATAATAAATAGTTTTGGATGTCCATTTTTCTCGGATGTGAAGTGCCGAAAAAGTGATTTGTTCACAGTTCTGATTTATGTGAGAGACTTCTTTTATGAAGTTATCTATTTTTACATTGTATCGTGTACCCAACATTAATACTATGCGGTGGCGATAGCATGTCCGGTGTACGTTCCAAATCGCTACAGGTGGTGCTTTCTCTTTATTGTCCATGTTGTCATGTTAAAGTTTGAAAAGGAGCTGCGTGCCGGTTGAAGATTCGCTTGCTCGTTTTTTCCTTTCGCGGGTCATACGAGAATAATCAAATAATAATAGCGAGAATACGACGATTTATGTGAGTAACCCTTTTGCTTATAACTCATATTTGACGAACGTGTGAATTTGTCTCTTGTTGAATTTATGTCCAGAATTAGGGCTACTAAATTTTTAGCATAACGAGCTCGTTTAAAAGTATATTACGTAAAACAACGGCATTTTAAATTAATGAGTAAGAAGCTCGATTGATATTCGTGTCTGTACACAGAGAGAACAATTTGGCTGAAGTATCTAGAAATTTAGCTACAGATTTAAAAATAATTTTGTTAAATCACTATAATAATTACGTAGGAGACGCTCAGCTGATTGCTAGAATCAAATTTGTCAAAACTTTTTACAGTAATGTTCATTATACTTGACTATCCGATAAAATTATTTTCAAATCTGCCTAAATTTGTAGATGCTTTAACAAAATTGTTCTTTTCGTGTAGATTGTATGGAAACAAAATTTTCACGAACGTAATGTAAATATTTTAATTTAAGACTAATGACATGGCATTATGAAAAATGCTGGCTGCTCGAAACATTGTTTTTGAATAGACATGACGAAAATATTCCGACGACAGATATGTTTCGAAAACGCCCGTTTTTCCTCTTGTTAATAAATGACAATAGCGATTTACTTTATGCGCGTCAAAGGCATATCCATGATCTTGATTGTGCGTAGTATCTGACAGAGATAATAAATCGCTTTGTTATTTCGAAATGTTGTCAGTCGTGAGGAATAAAGGAGACTATAGTTTGAGAATTACATATTGACGGTTTTTTATATACCCGTAAAATGACGCTCGCTTTATTGGCAGTTGCCGATTAATTCTTCGCAAATGATACGGAAATAGCACGTCGGAAGTACATTTTAGCATCGTTACTTTAACCAATCATTTCCCGCCTGTGACATTCAATCAGGACTAATTTTAACAGTTTAATTGTTTAATACGAGATCAAAATTTAGTTCGGACTTCTCGGTTCATCCCGAGACACAACCTTCGCTAAATCGACGCCAGATTTCTCAGTATAATATCGGACATTTTAGAACTCTCGCAGCGCTTCCTTTCGTCTCCGTTGACTCCTTTCATTCGCTGATCTTCGAATCAGCTGCGATTCGAGATAGATACTTCTAATAAAGTTGAGGGTCATCTTTTTTTTTTCACAATCTATTAACCTTCCGGAGTTGACGTCAAAATGAATAATGCAGTTATTGACACCAGCTCTGTAAAATCCATTTCATTTGTATTAATTAAAAGACAGTTCGTTTCAATTTCAAGAGACCAGAATTGATAGCAAATATTATTTTGTTTTAGTAATACTAAATATTGTATTTTAGTAAGAATAATTTGCAGATGTAACATAAGGAAAATTGAAATTGTTTGACATTTTTGACAAAGAGACTTATAATTGAGGTCCGATCCACCGTCAGCTGCGGATACTTGTCGAATTCGAATGATTATTTAACGTATCTAAACTTCACGCTGAGTTTTGAAAAAAAAAAGCCGTTTGAGATTACAGACTGAATTTCCGATCGCATATCTTTCGTGACGTCTCACTACGAATCTAGTTCGTGACATAATTGCTTTCAAAGAGATATACCTATTATCGCAGAAACACGTACGGTACACGAACAAGCAGGTCTGATAATAACCAATAGGCTGATTTCTGGCGACAGGTTGGCGCCGCGTAAAGCTCTGCACGGCAACCCGAACTTAAACGCCGGATACGAACTAGAAATTCATTACGGATGACGTCATCCCTTGTTACCGGCTTTTATCGGTATTTTCGTCGGGAGGGAAAAAAATCGGCTTTGATCTCGCGCCGAAAGATTAATTTCTAAAATATACCTCGGTAGATCGCCGATTAGATATATTCGCGCTTTTGATAAGAAAGCGCGTGCTCCAGTATTGAAATTTCAAACGGTCAAAAGGATTACTCCGGAATATCGCGTCGACTTGTTGCGCTTTTCTGGAACGGCACCCGCGTACGAGAGCCAATAGCCGAGGGCTTTATACACGCGTTGGTTGACTTGCTCGCGTATACGTCGCACACCCGGACGTAACCTCGTGGCATTTTCTCGCCGTGTACCCATACACTTTATGCACCATGACACAGATACTCGCCGAAGGGCGCGCTCGATGATGCACTTCGTCGGAAATTCGCGCGATGCACGCGGGAGAGATGTTGGAAATCTTTTTTTTTTTTTTTTTTTCACCTTTACCGACCTTTAGCCTCTCGCGTGGGTCAGAGTGTGACATTGTACAACATCACGCGAGTTTTGAAAGCATTAACATACGAAGACCTTTATTATCAGCGGTTCCACATTATTTGCCAGAAAGATACGATTTTCTGTATTAATGTAACATATTTGCATATCTTATCTGCATACGCACATTTTTTTTATAGGGTACGAATATTTAGTTTAGAGAGAAAATCGCGCGCGTTTAATTTATCATTGTCATTATATATTATGGGAATATAATATGATAATAAATCGTTTGAAAAATAATATCGAGAATTTTATGGAAATAACAATCTTAGAAGAATTGTTGAAATCATTTTATTTGGAAATCGTATGAGAACTTTTGTGTTTATCGCCTCTTTACATATATTTCGTAAAATCCTTTACAACGACGAATATAGAAAGTTTGGATTTTATTTTCTTATCGAAAGATATCTATAATTAATGAAATAACATTTACAATATTCGTTTACGTAATTCTATATGCGTTTGCAAGAGAGTCACGTAAAAATCTCGCCTTTTGCATTTTTGTCGCAGTGTGGCTCTCTGGAGATCGGCGAGGAACGCCAGCGTCGGGTCGCTATGATGGAGTCGCTCTGCCAGGTGAACGGCAGCAAGACCAACGGCATCGGCAATGGGGATCTCAACAACGAGACCAACAATAACAACACGAACAACAATAATAATGCCCACAATAACAATAACCACAGCAACAGTAACAATAATAACAACAACAACAGCAACGCTACCGATTGTCCGGATCCTCAGCAGAGGTTGGCGGTGCTGAGTTTCGAGCAGGTCCGCCGGCTGAACGATGTGATGAACGAAGTCGTCAGCATTCACGGCCGAGGGAACTTCCCCACCTTGGAGGTCCGATTGAGGGATCTCGTGACGGTGGTGCGCAGCAAGCTGGAAACCGATCCGAGCAACGGGGGCGCCGGCATGAGGGTACGCGATATCCGGCTGAACGGAGGCGCCGCTTCCCACGTGCTGGCCACCGAGTCCCAGCCGTACAACGACCTGGACCTTATCTTCGCGGTCGAGCTGTCCAGCGGCCGTAATTACGACAAGGTCAAGGCCGCAGTGCTTGGCTCCCTGTTTGACCTGCTGCCGGAAGGCGTGAGCCGCAAACGCATCACCACCTGCAGTCTGAAGGAGGCTTACGTAAGCAAGATGGTGAAAGTGAACAACGACGGCGATCGGTGGTCCCTGATCTCCCTCGGCAACTCCCGGGGCCATCGAAATGTCGAGCTCAAGTTCGTCGACTCGATGAGACGGCAATTCGAATTCTCCGTCGACTCCTTTCAAATCGTTCTCGACTCCCTGCTGCTCTTCTACGAGTGCAGCAAGCTGCCGATCGCCGAGAACTTCTACCCGACCGTGGTCGGCGAGTCCGTCTACGGTGATTTTCAAGAAGCGCTCTACCACCTCCACAAGAAGCTCATCTCGACGAGGCATCCTGAAGAGATACGCGGCGGCGGCCTACTCAAATATTGCAACCTATTGGTGAAGATGTACAAACCGTCTCAGCCGGATTACATCAAGACGCTCGAACGATACATGTGCTCGAGATTCTTCATTGATTTCCCGGATATCGGACAGCAGCGTTCCAAACTCGAGAACTACCTGTGGAATCACTTTGTTGGGCCCGAGGAGGAGGCCCTCAAGTATCAGTACCTGATGCTGCTGCATAGCGTCGTCGAGGAATCTACCGTCTGCCTGATGGGCCACGAGCGACGGCAAACCCTCGCGTTGATTCAGAACCTTGCCTACCAGGTGCTCTGCCAGGAGCAGCAGCAGCGGTTGACGAGTCACCAGCAGGCGCCGCAAGGTCCGCCTACCGCCTACGTCTATGCCACCGGCAACGGTTATTACTACACGCCCGTGATACCCACGACGGCATGCTATACGTGCACCTGCAACTGGATGGCGTGCTCCTCGTGATGCGACGATATCGGCGATAACGTCATATCCGTAGACGTCGCCACTGCTACCACCGACATCTCCACCTTTACCACTACCACA